TAGATTGTCCGGGCCTGACGTCCGAAGTTCCGGTTCGACAAGGCTCTGAACCTAGGGTCCATAGTCCTCTTGGGGCCTGTAGTAGATTGTCTGGGTGACTGGCGTCCGAAGTTCCCGATCGAGGCTCGTCCGATTCCGCTTCCACCAGGGCTGGGCAACCTATCAGCCCTGGTGCCTATCACTGCTGTTCGGTCCAAGTTGCCTGCCCGTTGGTAGGGCAATGATCCTGAGTGTTGGTCACACTGAGGTAGGAGAGTGGGATAGGGGGTACGCTACGAGTATTGATGTGAAGATGGGATGGGAGGTGGTCTCGTATCCGAGGATACGGGCGGCTCACAGCTCCAGGTGATCACTGTGTACTCAGTGACAGGCCTCTGCAACACCCTAGACTTAAAAAAAAATAAAAAATTTAAGGGGGGAAAAGAAAAGGCACCCAAGTGGCATTCAGGAGGTCTTGGGTTCAATCCCCATTGGCCTCATGTACCTTCCTGGGCAAGCTTGGCGCCCGCCACCTAGAGATAGGCCGTTGGTCCCTCCGAGTGGCATTAAGCAGAGACTACTGATGTTCATAGGGGGAGGTGACCGGAGGGGAGGCACAGTGACTGGCTCATCGAAGAAATTCGGTCCTGATGCCACCGGCTGACCCCTGGCCGGTATGACCCACCTGCTGGTAGGTGCAGCTCCCTCATGTTCCCTTGCTGGAGGCTTGAGCACATATGTGGCTGCTACGGGGCTCCCCGTAATACTGCAATGACAAAAAAAAAGGCTTGAAAGGCCGTCCTGTCCATATTCGACAGGTAATTGAATTTGTTGGGCTTCAAAGAATTAGCCTTTAAAAGAACAAAAAAAAAGAACAACACACACACACACACACACACACACACACACACACACACATCCGTTTCTCTCTGTCTCTCTCCCTCCCTCCCTCTCTCGCGCTCTCTGTGTCTGTCTGTCTGTCTGTCTGTCTGTCTTTGTCTCTCCATTTTCATCACTGTTTTCCCTACGCAGACCCGAATACAGACAACGGAGACCACACAGAATCATCACTGTCTGTCTCTGAAAAAAAGAAAGGAAAGAAAGAATCATCACTGTCACTGTCGGTCTCATAAACTCTCTGCTTCTTGGTTTGTGTTCCTCTCCGTTTGTGTCCGCTGGCTCCCTTCGCAAAATAAGAGATCAGACAAGCAACACCAGAGGCACACACAAACAACAGCAGCAACATTCAGCTCGGAGCTTTTCCGAAGAAGAAGAAGAAGA